GATGAAATTACAGTACTGGAACAAAATTAAATCATACATCTTTCAAACAAATTGAATTCGTTAATGTAAACTATTTTAAAAAATAATAACAGTAATAAATTAAATTTATTGAAAGGTGTATGATTTATTTTATCCAGTACTGTATAATATAAAATTTCCAAGGAGAACAGAAAGTCAAGATAATGTCATTTGATATCTTGTTGATCAAAAAATGACAAAAAACGTCATTTTTACATCATTTTTGCCATTAACAATGTCAAATTGACATTATTTTAATTTTCTGTTTTCCTTGGGCTGTATATACTACAAATTGATTTATTGTATACACAACAATTACAAATAAACGAAATTATTTGCATCTTATCTTCTATAAATATTTTTATTTGCTATTCTACGTTTATATATATTTTTGTTTTCATATTTGTTTGTATGTACTTTTATTGTGTTTTTTTATGTGCCATAATAATTTTAATAATTTAATTATTTCTTTTATATATATTAATATATTAATTTCTATATAAGCATGAAGTATCGTATGAGATAAAATTGTTTTTAATTATTTTATTGCACTAATGTCAGTTACAACAGAAAGTAAATATATTAGTTATTGTATACATTCAAAATAAAACGCCATGAACGTCACATTCGCTTTTACACCAAGATGGCGACAGTTCTGCCGATCTCTCCTTTAAGGGTGCTGTCCCATGACAAACAGAACTTCGGAAATCGGAATTTCGGAAAAATACTAGAGAAGTATCAACCAATCAAAATCATGTAACAATCCGACTTTTTCGTTGGCTGGGTTCCCCATGGAGTGACTTTTACGGAAAACGGAACGGTATTCTAATCTCAAATTATCTTTTAATTTAGAAAATGTTTTGATTATTTTATATTATAATGAAAAATATATGTAAATTTTATTTCTTTATGTATTTTTTTATAATAATGTATTTTTTTTTTTTAAACTAATAACAATAAATTTTTTAATTTTACAGAATTCCGGAAATATATTAGTGCATGGGGAACCCAGCAATAAAAATTCCGTACCGACTTGTGACGTCCAATGTAACACGACACACACACACACACACACACACGCACGCACGCACGCACGCACGCACGCGCGCACGCACGCACGCGCGCACACACACACACACACACACACAAAAACACGCAAGTTTATACAATTTTTTTTTCAAACCTTTTTTAAACATTTTAAAATGTTTATATATATATAAAATATATATATATTATTATTATTTTAGTGAAATACAAAAAATTATTGAGATCGTAGTTTTATAAGATATTTATTGTTAATGAATAATTATTTGGTAAGTAATAAAATTATTAATAATAATTGACCTATTAATAATTAATTTTTAATTTTTATATTAATTTTATTTTGTAGATCATTATGAAATCGAAAAAAATTAAAATACTCTTAACGAGAGAAATTATTAAATGGCAACGCAGTTCACAATCATCAATAATAATTAAAAAAAGAAATGCGACAAAAATTATTGAAATTATATTTGTTATATAGAAGATTGAAAAAAAAGAAAGTATTAAAAGAAAATTTTGGGTTTTGTCCCATATTTACTATAAGACAAAGAATGTTGCAAGGTGCAAGCAA